CTGAACTCCCGACCCCCCCCCATCTCTTGACTGCCGCATCCAAAACCTCCCTGCCCCTTCTCCGACCCCCTGGCCCCCTTGTTGTTGGCCTTTCTTCACCTAATGTCTCGGTGAACTTGCTCAGGAACTGCCTGAGCCGCTGGGCAGCAGCGGGGGAGGAGCTCCAGACTGCCGGAGCCGATCTGTGATGCAGGGAGGGAGGGAGGGAGGGAGTGATTTCTGCTGCGGGGGGGAGGAGGAGGAGCCCTCTCTGGCTGAGTGTCGGAGCCCCATGTAAGTGACACCGTCCGGCTGGCAGCACTGTTAGCCGCGCACGCTCTGCGGGGGGGAAGTCCGGACATTTACAAATTCCCCCCGGACGCTATTTTTAGCTTAAAAAGCCGGACATGTCCAGGGGAATCTGGACAAATGGTAACCCTAAGCATGTGGGCAAGACTCACCAGCAAGACACCCAGGAAAGAATTCTCTCCCTGCAGCTCCTGCTGCTTTCTGTTATTTCCTCTCACCTTTTCTCCTGTCTGCCTGTTATGTCTCTTGTGCCCACCTTCCTCCAGCACAGCACTCCACCATCTCTGTGCATCTAGAGCAGAGAGAATACATATGCACCAGCAGCAGACACAATTTTCTACACTCTGGGTCTTAGTGGGCCGCCTCAGTTCACCTCATGGTAAGGCCAGCCTTGTCCTCGCTCCTCCCCCCTTCCCACCAGCCTCCTGCACACTGTGAAATAGCTGTTCGCGGCGGGCGGGAGGCACAGGGAGAGAGGGGGAGCACTGATCTGTGGGGCCTGCTGATGGGAGGGAGGCATTGGGGGAAGGAGGGAGCTTGACTGCCAGTGGGTGCTAAGCACCCACCATTTTTTCCCCCTGGGCACTCCAGCCCCGGAGCACCCACCTATGGTCCCACACCAGATCTAAGGCTCAGCGTCTGGTTACCAGTGATTTCAACTCTAGCGATCACTGAACAATACAGTGGAGAGTCAAATGCTGTCTAGAACTCCTTAGTCAGCACCACCATCACCATTCTTTCACTGGGATCTGGCCTCTCTACCCCCTGCTTAGCAAGTGAGCTTCTGTTTAGGGGAACTCCTCAATCAGTCAGGACCGGGTAAGTACCGTTCTGCTCATACAATCAGGATAACAACATTTCATTACCCCTCCACTCAAATTTAAAAATATTATTAAAGCTGATGTATATAATACACAGGCTAAGAGAAGAGTGTCTGTACAAGTGATTTGTAACCCAACACCTGCCAAAATTGAGCACTTTGGCAAAGCAGCCCCCTCTGCTGAATACCTAGGCAGAGTAGGCGTGTTTATGCAAATACCGTCTGTTCCTGGAGTCCTTTCCCCCAGCTCATTCAGACTCTGCTTACACATCGTTTTCATCCCTGAAGTTTAGCTGATCTTTTAGATACCCTGGGCTCACCTTGAAGATAAGGACAGAGAACTTCAGTGCTCTCTAGAAAGCCAGCGTAGGGACAGGTTTGATATCTTCACAGCAGTCAGTGTTGCTGAGGAGATGTGTTGCAGAGGAGTGTACCAGCTGAAGTTTTCTAAGTGCCAAGGGCTTCGTGTCTGGTTATAGCCCACTGCTGTAATCCTGTCAAAAGTTGACAAAAGCATGAGTAACTGAGGACAGGTCTCATAGCCAACAGGAGATGGTGGAAAGCATTACTCATGGATGCTGCTATGCGAGAGCTTCTTGGGGGCACAGTGAGCATCCTCCAGTTCAGCTCCGCCTTCTCTGCTTCCATTCCTGGTTCATAACTCGTGGTTTTTTTGGGGAGGGAGGACATGGACAAGAAGTAAGAGAGAGTTCTGAGTGTAGGTGTGGGCATGAAGCAGAGCTACAGGCCAAACATGGGTGCAGGAGATGGGGATGGTAAAGAGAGAGGATCAGGGAGGAGGTGGGTGGTTAGCAAAAGGAGAGCAGAGAAGTAGGTCAGGGTGATGAGCTTGGAACATATGGACAAGATGTTTCCCCTTGAAGATTTGCCCACATTTTTTGTATCCTGGGTATTGACTTTGAATCTGAACTCTCCTCCTCCTCCTAAACCTCCTCTTGCTGCAAATCTGCCTGTTAGCAATGGCATCATTATCCTCTCTGCCACTGTTTGCCGTCAGCCTGTGCTGAAATCCTCCCGCGGGCCTCCATCTCCTCTCCCCTTGACTCTGTGGGTCTCATCAGCGCAGCAGGATGGGAATAGATCGGTGGGGAGTGATTCGAGTGGGAATAGCGGTGCTGATTATCTCTGGGTACCTAACAAAAATCACGCTACAGTAGCACAAAGGGAACAGCTGAGATGTGGTGAAGTCAGATCCCAAACAGGTGCAGGTGAAGAGCAGGGTAAGGAGATGGAGGGAGTGGGAAAGAGAGAGGATCAGGAGTGAGGTCAGGGGCAGAGAGAGATGTGGGCCAGAGTGATCATGTGATAGTGATCAGGGCTTTTACTGCCTAATTTATTGCAGGCCTGGAACCAGATTCTGATCTCAGTGGCACTGGTATAAATCTTGAGTTATTCTAAAGTGAGATCTGGAGTCATACTGGATTTATGCTACAGTGTCAGTCAGTGAGAACAGAATCTCAAAACTCACTGCCCATAACCCAAACCCTACAGTATCCACTCCCCACAGCTCACATGGGATGCTCTGTCTCTCTCAGGTGGACGGGGTGTCCCACAACCTGCCTGTGATCGTGGCCGATGGGCGGCTCCGAGCATATCAGCATGGCGTGAATGTCCTGGTGCAAACTGACTTTGGCCTCACTGTGAGCTATGACCTGGTTTACCACGCCAGAGTCACAGTCCCGGGTAGCTACCACGGCCAGATGTGTGGCCTGTGTGGAAACTACAAAGGGCAGCAGGATGACAAGTTCCTGCTCCCCGATGGCAGGGTGGCCCCCGACACTGCATCCTTCGGGTCTGCCTGGGAAGTTCAGATCCCAGAGGCATCCTGTACAGACAAATGTGCTGGGAACAGCTGTCCAGTCTGCAAGGAGGAGAGGAAAGATGTCTTCAAAGCGCACAACTACTGCGGGCTGCTCACAGCCCCTGACGGCCCTTTTGCCGCCTGCCACAGCACGGTCAGCCCCAGCACGTATTTCAACAACTGCCTGTATGATCTGTGCCTGGGCAACGGGGACTCCCAGCTCCTGTGCCAGAGCATCCACAGCTACGTGACAGCCTGCCAAGAGGCCAAGGTCACCATCCAGCCCTGGAGGAGCGCCTCCTTCTGCCGTAAGTGCTGTGATGCTGATGAGTCTCTGGGACGCACTGGGGAGGGTCATAATTTCAAGGCATCTCATTCCAAACCTTTGGGTTTCTTCAGAAACTCTTCTGGATGGAAACCAACCTTCCATAAGTGTCCTGGTCCTCTCCTCCCAGTCCCACTCTCCTCCCCTTCATGTCTCTGTACCACTGGTTCATGGTATGAGATCTTTCCTGCCCTAAATTAATTCTCTCTCTATTTAAGCTCTGACCTGCCCAGCCAACAGCCAGTACAAGGTCTGTGCCAAGCTCTGTACCACAACCTGCACTGGAGACATCATGGACTGCCCAGAGACCTGTGCTGAAGGCTGCCAGTGTGACAAGGGCTTCTTCTTTGACGGCCAGGGCTGTGTGACTCTGGAGAATTGTGGGTGCTTCGAGCGTGGGAGATACTACAAGGTACCACCCCAAGCGGTCTGGGTCTGATCTAATTTTTGCTCTATCCACATCTTAATCCCTACACTAGCCAGGAATAGGGTTAGCTATAGTGGATCAGAGCTTTGGCCTATCTGGCCTGGCACCCCTACTCTGCTAGTACCCAATGCCCAAAGCACCAAGAAAGGCAAGATTATTTAATTCCCTTTGTCTGTTTTAGGAAACTGAGGCACAGAGAGAGGCAGCGACTTGCTCACGGTCACATAGTGACTCAGGAGCAGATGGGAGGTTAAAACCTAGGTGCTATTTCTGGCCCTTGGCCCAGTGACAGCCTTTCTCTTTAACATTAAGAGCAAATAATATGACAACAGAACAGACACATCACCACACATTTCTGGGTTTAGCACTGTCACGGAGTCACTGGGCGATGCTCTGGAACTACTCCATACAAAGCCAGTCAGGACTCAGGGGGTTGGACTAGATGACCTCCTGAGGTCCCTTCCAACTCTGATATTCTATGATTCTATGAATAAAACCCCATCTTGTCACAAGCACTGCCCGAAATTAATATAAATAATCTTTTCCTCGTTACATTGTGTTATTTCGCTTTTCCAAACGTCCCCTCAGCCCAGAGAGACCATCCTGACGAATGAGTGCCAGCAGAGCTGCACCTGCATTTCTGCCCAAGAGGTGACCTGCAAAGCCCACAGCTGCATCAGAGAAGAAACTTGCCAGATCAGAGACGGTATCATGGGCTGCATCAGCAAAGGTGAAGGAGAGTCACTGATTGAAATATGCTCCGAGGGGTTACTGTGGGTGGAATAACTGAGGTAGGGATGGGATAAACCAGTTTACAACAGATTATTTATTAAGTTTATTTTTCCTCAAGAAATACCCTTCTGCTAACTAACCAGCCTGATCCTGCTTAGCTAATCCTAGACAGAGATAGGCAATTTGCAATTCAGCAAGAAGTATGATTGTTACAGAGGTTCCCAGGGTGCAACCTGGACTGTGGGACTGCTGAGCCCTCTGTCCAACCTGGGGCATAAGCGCTGACTCAGTGGGTGCTCCGGGGCTGGAGCACCCATGGGGAAAAATTAGTGGGGGTGCTCTGCACCCACTGGCAGCTGAGCTCCCCTCACCCCCCGCCCCACCTTGGCCTCCTCCTCCCCTGAGCACACCGCCTCCCCGCTCCTCCGCCTACCTCCCAGCACTTCCCACCCAGCCACTGCCAAACAGCTGTTTGGCTGCGTAACAAGCTCCGGGAGGGAGGGGGAGGGGGAGGAGCAGGAACATGGCACGCTCAGGGGAGGAAGCGGGGAAGAGGCGGGGCCAGGGCAGGAATTTGGGGAAGGGCTTGGCATGGGGGCGGGGAAGGGGTGGGAAGAGGCAGGGCAGGGGCGGGCCTCATGGAAAGGGTGGAGTGGGATCCGAGCCAGGGGCAGGAGGGGGATCGAGCACCCAGAGGAAAGTGGGGAAGTCGGCGCCTATGACCTGGGGTATCCCTCTCACTGTGATGCTGTTGGCAAGCTATAAACCTCTGCTGGGTACTGCACTTACACAGACATCCACAGGCAGGGACACGCCAAACCAAGTTTGACGAATGTTCCTCCTAGCCATGCATGAACCAACAATAGGGAGGCTTCAGCCAAATCCCCCCAGCTCCCCAGCCTTGCACCTAGGGTGACCAGATAGGGGCAGTCCCGATATTTGGGGCTTTTTCTTGTATAGACTTCGATTACCCCCCACCCCCTGTCCCGATTTTTCACACTTGCTGTCTGGTCACCCTACTTGCATCCCAGAACGGTACCATCTTGCCTTGGTCAGAAGCCTGACCAGTGTAAGTTCATTACCGAGTCTACCCCTCCTTCGATGTGGAGAGGACGCACACTAGCCTTTATAAACTGAGCTGGTGGACTTCAGAGAGAAGCAGCATAAGAACTGAGTTGTGGGGAGTTAGGAGGGGAGGGAAATCTCTGAGATGAACTTTTCCTCCAATGGGAGTCACAGGTGCTTGGCACCTCTTAGCATTTGACCATTAGCACCTGCAGCTCTCACTGATTTATGGACTGAATTCCCTCTCCCAATGAAATCACTGAGAGTTAGCCAATGACAGGGGTGCTGGAACAATTTTTACATTGGGGAGGCTGAGAGCCATTGAACCAAACTGTAAACGTTACCTCCACTGGAATCCACTTCAAGCCAGGAGGTGCAGCAGCGCCCCCAGCACTCCTAGTTCCAGCACCTATGGCTAATGACTTCAGTGCCATAGCAATGTGTTATTGAGGGTGCTCAGCCAGTTTGCTGGATCAGGCACTTGTGCACATGCATAACTTGAAGCATGTGTGTAGCCTCATTGATTTCAACTGAGCTCACTTGATTAAGTGTTTCAATAGATTGGAACCACAGCTTCCAGCAAACCAAGTGCCGTTGAGTATCCCGGGCTTCCCAACCTCTCATAGAATCATAGAATCATAGAATATCAGAGTTGGAAGGGACCTCAAGAGGTCATCTAGTCCAACCCCCTGCTCAAAGCAGGACCAATTCCCAGCTAAATCATCCCAGCCAGGGCTTTGTCAAGCCGGGCCTTAAAAACCTCCAAGGAAGGAGACTCCACCACCTCCCTAGGTAACGCATTCCAGTGTT